GAAGAAGAAGGACTAACGAAGAAGAAACCGGATCAAAGAAAGAGGAGACTGGATTTGGAAAAGAAAGGCAAGTTCTTCTCTACTTCTCCTCTTAGGGCTCATAAACCTATCACCTGATTATCGAAATTATAGTTTATGTATTTATTTATTTTCAATTAAATTAATTTATTAGTAGGATTATATGAGCATGTTTAATCTTTACAAAATTATAAGTTTAAACATGTGAATGTATGTATGTATGTAATGTCTGATAATGTAAAATCTTGTATGTAAGATTAGATTAATTAAACTTTAGTTGCAGAAATTTTTATAGATTGCTTTAACCTGGTGTACCGTGATGAATTGAATTAAATAGATCTTAATTTAACTATATATGTTCAATTAGGCTCAAAATAATTAAATTAAGCTTGTGGGATTTTTCTAGAATTTTCTGGGATTTTATGGGAATTTTCTGGAATTATTTTATGATTTTAAAAGTTATTTTATATATTCTGTGTATATATATGTGAATATATATATATATATATATATATATATATATATATATATATATTGGAGACTTGAGATCGGCGCACCCAAATAAAGGTGCTGGAATTCAGTGCGGCAAGGTGTACAGCGCCTTGGTGCGCTTAAATCAGGACCGTTAAATGGTCCTGATGATAAGAAGCTATTGTGGTGTGATACGGCGTATAAAACTTAGGTGCACAACAGATCTGGACCATTGGTAAGGTCCAGTCAATAGCAGAAAGATCTGATACGGCGTGGTCTATGAAGAGATGGTGTGCTTGCATGTTTTGGCCGGTGGATGCAATCTAAAGGGTGGATGAAGATCCAGTGTGGGCGAGCTCACCATGACAAGGAAGGCCAACCAATGAGGAGAGGCCAGCATGCGCGGAGGGCCAAATCCGGCGCGTGTGCAGCGTGTGTAGGTGCATGAGGACAACAGCCAGTGTTTGGTGGCACGTGGAGGCGTGTGTAGCAAGTCTGAGACTGTGTGGTGGCGCGTGGGGGCGCGTGGGACAGTGTTTGGGGTCCTGGAAAGTTCCTGGGGATCCTAGTGAATTCCCAGAATTGGTTTTAAACTGTTATGGTTGAAAACAACCATCAGCGGATGCGTTCGTAGTGTTTTGGGAGTCATAGAGTATCGCTTGGGTATTTCATATGCATATATAATTTTAATTAGTAGTTGGGGGTGGAAAGAAGTGTATATAACTGTCTATATATATATATTTGGTTAGTAAGGAATGACGTATATATATAAGTACTTGTATATAGATATGTATATTTATATATATTTATAATTCTTAAATGGTATGCTTATTATATGCATGGAATGCCTAGGTATGGTGTGGTATGTGGTTAAATTAGTTTTACGATATGGTACATGGTTGAATTGTAGGCATGGGTGAGTTGCCAACGGCTTAAATATATATGGCCTTATTATTTATGAATTATTTCATGTAGAGGAAGCATGGATGAATTGCTATTTAAAAGTATAAATAAATATACTTAAGGAAGCATGGTTGAATTGCTAATACATAAATAGATATACTTACAATGGCATGGTTGAGTTGCCATTGTAGAATTAAATTATTACGTGTTAGATGATTAAAATTTCATCTGTGAATATTGTATGTATATGTTGGATTAAGACTAAAATAATCCAATACTTACCAGTTAGTGCGTTATTTTATATACATAAATAGAATAATGTTGGGTGACATGGAGGATTTGTCAAGGCCTGGATATTAGTGGTGTGTTTTAAATAACTAAAAATCACTATTGGGTTTTGGATTTAATTTATTATTCGGTTAATTGTAATTTATTGCTTAGATGATTAAATTACTGTCTTTGATAAAATTAAGGAATTGATGAGTTTCTTTTAAAAGAGATATATATTGTCGGATTAGTTTAGGTATGATTAGTAATTAACCATTGGTTAATGGTTTTGGCAATTTAAGTGATCCTATTAATAGACAGGATTATTGTACTACATATATAAGTATTTATATATATTTGTAGCATCGTGTAATAAAGTTAAAACTTTAGTAGGGTTGATGTTTGGTATAGATGATTTGTTTATTGGTTTTCAGAGGCTTAGTAGAGAGAGCTTGTTCGTAGAGTTTAACCCGCGATTTATTTTTTTCAGGATTATTAGAAGTTCAAGTCTCAAGGTTGAGGATGCGCAGTTGGAGGACTTATCCACTCTTTCGCTTTATTTAAAAGTAGGATATTAGTATTTCTTCGTTTGTTACTAGTATTTAATAATGAACTTCTGGATTATGGATTTTTGGTTAAAGGGTCCTTGAGTTACAGGATTCCCGAGTTGTAACCGTTTGGAAGTTATTAAGGGACTTATTATTTATTAGTTTCTTCAGCGTTTTATTTTATTCTTTGTTTCATTTTGTAATCTGTGCTTGTTTAAATACTGTAATTGTTTTGATATCCCCTGATTTTGTGCGCGGACTTAATCAACCCGTGTTCCGAAATTAGGGGGTATTACAGGATGAGAATGCCAATCTTCAAGAAAGAAGAAGAAGAAGAAGAAGAAGAATAAATGGAGCTAGGTGGTACTTTTCAGAGAGTAAATGTTACACAGGAGCTAATTTAAGAGATGAGTGAACCCCGTGATGCAGTTGCAAATGAGTTGTGGAACAACTATTGTGATAGATGAATCATTTCTATTTGCTCATTATAATATTGTCACTTTTATTAAGATTATTTTTCTATTTAGATATTGTAATATTATCACTTTTATTAGGATTAATTTTCTATTTGGATATTGTAATATTGTCACCTTTACTTGGATTAATTTTCTATTTGGATATTACAATATTGTCACTTTTATTTGAATTAATTTTGTATCTAAATGCCATTTGGATTTATGTTATAATCTGCATGCTTTTGATATTATGTGTATGCTGGCCAAAAAATTAGAGTTCTGTTTCACTTGTTAGTATGCTAATATAGCAACCCTTTGAATTTTGGCAAAATTGAGTAATCTTGTATTTTTTTTTTTTGAGAAAATTAAAATATTAAGTAAAACGCCATTGCCCAATATGGGTTCTCAACTTCCATTAATTGAGGATGATAGGGGTGGATTGGGTACAACTTAACTTTTGGCCAATATGATTGTTCTTAAACTCATACCCGCAATATTTCTCTTGGCAGCATGAGTTTTACAATTGCACAAAGCAATGACCCATTGTTAAATATTAAATAGTGTAATTATTAGTCATCCTTCAAGGAACCAAGTTGGTTCCTCAAAATTTTGTTAATTTATGGAGATTATTTGACTTATTAGTAACCGTATGGGTTTTTTTGCTCTTCATATTTCTTTTTCTCATTAGTATTTTGATGAAAATTTTTTAGGGGTTTGCAGTGTTCATGCTTACATTGTTTTCAAAACAGAGCAATCTGCCCAGGCTTCTTTGGATCATAATATGGCCGTGGTATGTTGTTTTCTGATATTTGATATTTGTCGAATTCAAGAACCAAAAGTAAAAACAGAAATTTATTATTTTTTACTAAACACACTTTCTGTGTTTTGCTTTCAAATTTCAAAAGTAGACTACAGTTTACTAGACACTTTCAAATTTCAAAGTCTATAGTTTACTAAATATAATTTTACATTCTGTTTCATCTCAAAGAAATTAGAATTATGATTTTACTTTTCAAGAAAGTAAAAGTATTAGGGCCTGAATTCTGATTTCTGCTGTCAATTCCTAAAATTGAGAATCAAAAGTAAAAATCGTGTTTAGTAAAATACTTTCACTTTTTTGTTTTAAGAAAGTACTTCCTAATTTTATGAAGAGAGGAAAAAGTGAGAAATCCTCACTTTTTATATTTTCTACATGTTTGTAGAAAATCACTTTCTCTACTGTAGCACTGTTTATAATATATATATATATATATCCAAACTAATCATTTGTATCACCCACCTCCTCTCCACCGTCATTGCCACTGCCACCTCCTCGCCGCCGACAACCACCGCCATTGCCGACAACCACTACCATCATCGCTCTTCTCTTCTCTCTACGACCACAAACTGCTACTAAACACGTCGAAAACTGAAACCCCTTCATCGTTTTGAAAGAGCAAGGTTAATATGAAATTCCTCCTCAAAGAAGTTAAAATCAACGGAATTCTCTGCCGAATCAGAGACCCTGGTGGTCTCAAATGCCGTCGCCGCCAATGGAGTTCGAGTCGCATCCGATAAGAGGAGAGAGAAGACATAAACATTTTCTATCTCTACTGGTTTAACCTAAGCCCACTTGGCTGAAAGTAGATGAACGGCGGCGGCGAGCAGTGTCTCCAAGCTGAGGCCGGATGGACTGAACTTATCAACGGACCGAACGGCGAAGAGGCTGTGATGATGTGGGTAAGGAATCGGGCAATTGGGCATCTTCTACTCTGCTTTCAAAAGTCAAAAATCTTTGAAAAAGAAAAGACATGAAAAGTCAACAAAAAAGAAGAATAGACTCACCTCTTCTTGAAATCTCTGAAGCATAAGACGCTTCTATTCAAGATCCGCGGCATAAGGATCAAGCTGACCCTCACCCTGTAAGGCAAGCTTTTGATTTTGATCCCTAAAGATTAGACCTTCCAGGTCCAAAAATACCAGAAATAGAAAGATTAGGGCCTTAGACTATGTAAGGGGTATAGCTCTCGGAACGGGCTTAAACGATGAATCGACTAATGCCTCGCCGGACAGTTAGAGAAAGAGAAAAAAAAAAAAATATAGAGTGAGAAAGATAAAGGAAGCAAAATTAAAATAAAATTATTAAACTTCCTTTTTGTTTTTTACTTTCAAAATATTAAAAATAATTTTTTTTTATTCGACACTATTTAACTTTTTATTTTATTTCAAAAAAGTAAAAATATGATTTTACTTTTTAAAGAAAGTAAAACCTGCGGGACAATTAATCAATAAAGCGGTCCCACAGTTATCCTCCAGATTCTCGGGGGCAGAACAAAAGAGAGGACACGTGGATACACAGTGAGCCTTCCCAAAATTCAACCCGGCGCATTTTATCAAACACCAGTTTCATCGCCCCTTCCTCCTCCAACTTTGGCGGCGGAGCTCTCTAGTTTCCACCACGACCCTCTCAAATATATCTCCCCAAAACACAATCATGTCCATTACTATTAGTAGTATTACTCTCTCTCCACCCCCACTTTCTCTCTCTACCCACCTCTACTCCCATGCGTCCCGTTGCACCAACCTCCATCCTCCGATGGCTATTCTGCGCCACCTGAACCTCCGCCACCACCGCCGCCGCCTCACCTCCTTCGCCGCCGCCGCTCTCCGCCAAGACACCACCGTCTGGACCCCGGCACCTCTCGCTGAGGTCCAACCTGCCGCCGACTCCCTCTTCCACATCACCATCGACGTCTCCGATTCCCCTGATCTCGTTTCCTCCCACACGCGTGCGGGACAGTACCTACAGCTACGGCTGCCGGACGCCGCGAAGCCGTCCTTCCTTGCCATAGCGTCTCCGCCGTCGCTGGCGGCGGCGAGAGGCGCGTTCGAGTTCTTGGTAAAGAGTGTGGCGGGTTCTACGGTGGAGCTTCTCTGTGGGCTCCAGAAAGGGGACGTTGTTGAGTTGAGTCCAGTCATGGGCAAAGGATTCGATGTCGATCAAATATCGCCGCCTCAGGATTATCAAACCGTTCTGATTTTCGCCACTGGATCTGGGATTAGGTGAACCTTCTTATCAAATCAATTCACTTATTTCCATCCTTTGAATTTGAATGAATGAATTATAAGAATTGTCTGCTAATTGGTGTGCACAGATATATATATACCACTTCTTATACTGTGCTTTAATTAGGCAATTTGATTTCAAAACTGTGATTTGCCCATTGTAAGATCGGCCCAAGGTTTTGGGAATGGAACCTATTTAAAATATAGGACAAGGCCAAAACTTTTATGTGTGTGTTAGTGAAATTTCTGCCAAAATGCATGTGTTTATCTTTGTTTTATTTTTAATGTTTATGCCAAAAACTTTAACATGCCATATATTATTCAAAATTCAATTGAGAGAGATGTAGGACAGGTTCTGGAAGAGTGGTGCTTGGTGAAAGAGTCTGTCTTGGGATTTTTGGGTCCATTTGAAAGGAAGGAGAGCTTCTTGCTGTGAGGAGCCTACAGTGTTGATCATCTTGTGGATGAAAGACTACTCGTCTCAAATGTTATCATTGTTAGTTTCAGAAGCAGTATAACTACCCAATTTATTTTGTCATCCTATAATTGTAGTTTTCTCTCTCTTTTCAATTCGTATTTCTTCCTCAGCATCCCCTACTCCATTGTGCCTTTATGCAGCTGTATATATTACTCATCTCCATACCCATATAATTTTTTTATCATATTTTTGAAGGGAAGGATAGGATTCACACCCCAGACTCTGATAGGTCAAACTATGCCTAAGTCCCACTTTAGACACGGGTTGAAAAGGTATTATTTTAATTATAATGCATTTTAACAAAAAATAAAGCGATAACAATTAACATGATTTGAAGCATCCACATACAAGAATACCAAATTTGCGTTGAAAACCTTGGGGAAAATCCATGACACCCTAGGCCAAGCTGGAACAATCCATTATGAGGAAAATGTTATAACTCTAGGTATCAGACTCTTAGCCCTAACAACCACTTAAGCTACTTTTGATGTAGAGTCACTCAGTATGTTCTCCATGAACTCTGCTATTGTTGATCATCTTTATGATAGTGTTACTTTACAGGTTGATCCCCATTCATTTCTAGTTTCTTTGTGCTTTAGGCTCGACTTCATTTAGCAGCCATTATTTTGGTTGTAAAGTTTAGATGCAAATATTTTTTACTCCCCTAGATGTAGTGTGTCTTTAACTGCTTATACATGTTCTCTTGCAATTGCATTTAATGAAATGAGAGTATATATTTATGCCAATTTTTTCTCCTCTTAAGATAGCACTTGGACAGGCCTTCATTACAATTATTAGTGTGATGAATACTGTATATTTTTATCCATGACTTACTCGTTTCCCTATACTTCATCACATGTAGCCCAATCCGGTCCTTGATTGAATCAGGATTCAGCGCCAATAAGAGATCCGATGTTAGGCTCTATTATGGAGCTAGAAACCTTCAAAGAATGGCTTATCAGGTTTTGTTCAGTGTTTTACTCATTGTGTCAGAAATCTATAGTGCATTGCCTGCTTGATCAGTTCTGATATTGAAGCCTGTGTTTCTCCCATCTTTTTATAGGATAGGTTCAAAGATTGGGAATCTTCGGGTGTAAAAATTGTCCCAGTATTATCACAACCTGACAGTAATTGGACAGGTGAACATGGTTATGTACAGGTATTAGTCAACTCTTGCACATCTTTTAAGTTCAAGTTGTCATATCTCCTATGACCAACTTAACATCTTTTAAGTTCAAGCTGACACTACTGCTTTTGCAGGCTGCTTTTGCCAGAGCCAAAAAAATTTATAGCCCCCAGGCCACAGGTGCAGTCCTTTGCGGACAGAAACAGATGACTGAGGTTTGTCATTGTTTTATTGTTATTTATTTTTTTAATTTTTTTCCCAGTGGCTGGCTATTCTGTTTAAAGATCTTCCTTTGATATTGTTTCTTGATTATTTTTGGCAATTTTCTGTTTAAAATTGTTCCATCCTGAAACAGTATCTATCATGCTATATACCCCCAGAAAATGATTGCATGTCTCTGTAGATATGTTTGTTTTTGTTTTTGCTATTGTTTTTATTTTTCCTTGTTTTTGTTGGTTTGGAATCTCTCTCTCTCTCTCTCTCTGATGAATAAGTTCAGAATTCCATGTTGTTTATCTTCTACTTTTAAAAACTAGTTTTGGATTTTCTTTCCTCAGTAGAGATAGTTACCTAACCCATCGTGGCACAATGTCAAGTGCTTCCATGAAATAAGTGGAGGTTTGGGTTTGATTGGTATTGTTAGCAATAAAACATAAGTTGTAATTAAGTTTTCTGATGTAATTAAGTTGTATGAAAATATGCATTTCTGTCACCATTCGAACTCTTTTTAGCTGCTTTTAAAGTCTTTATTATTTTGGGTAAATGGGCGGGACTGTAATTCAATGGATTGTCTTTTGGATTTTGTGGATAGCTTAAAGCTATAGTGTCGTCTTGGACGGCTGTTGTCTTCTTTGGGAGTGCTTCCCTTTTGAGCGCCTTTTATAAAATTTTACTTATAAAAAAGAAGAAGGAAGGTGTTGTAATGTTATCCACAGTATTAGCTTAACTAAGATGAAAGTGAGGGATGGCAAGACTATTAGACTAGAACTGGTGCAACTTGACCACTGGCTGCATTATTAAGAACCATTGGTGTGATGCATGTGATGGCTTGATGAGCACATTCAGAAAGGGTGTGAAATAAGGTGGAGTGAGAAGTTGACAACTTATGGCTTAAACATTGGAGTGTGCCTCAATTAGGAAGAATGACTGACCAGGTTGTGTAACCCGTCATGAAAAGTTGCAGTAAGATTGTTGTGATGAAATCCTTTAGGAAATATTAAGGTCAAAAGCCCATCTTTTAGCATCAAATTTAATCCTGGTGAAAATGGCATATTTCTTGAAAATTATGTGCTATATTATCCTTTCACATCTAAACCTAGAAAAGTTTTCCTAATTCAGAATCTCTAGATAATTAAAATGCATTTGCAATCACAATACTTCATTTAGCACAACAGCCTCTAACTTCCCAAAGGGAGGTCAGGGTTTCAAGTCTCAGAGACAAGTGTGTGTGAGTACCAACTAGGAAAAAAAAATAAAAAATACTTCATTTAGCACAAAAGTGGGAATCACAATACCAATGGGCCTGTGGCCTAGCGGTATCAGCTCTTACTTTCTAAAGGGAGGTCAAGGGTTCAAGTCTCAGAAGAGACAAGTGTGTGTGAGTACTAACTTGGAAAAAAAAAAAAATGCATTTGCAATCACAAGACTTCATTTAGCACAACAGTGCTTTAAATTCTAACTACATTTAGGCTATGTTACCTGGAATCACCACATCAACCCAGGGCGTCCATTTCGACATGACATGACATGGACATGGACATGGACACAGGATTTGGGTCAGACATCTCTTGCATCTATCGAACATGACTGATGAAGACATTCTCATGAAGGATTGTTTCGATGGCTGTTTGTGAGGGACTTGAAATTTTTTTGACGTCTCTTTGTTAGATCACGTGTCTTATATAGGGTTCATGGAGGCTGCTGGTTCGAAACTAGGGTTTTTTCAAGGTTGAAGGTGGTTGTTTTGTTTTTTTTTCCACCTAGGTAAAGTGGGAATTTTTTTATAGATTCAGAAACAATGGTACAATGCACTAAGTAGAGGCATTCCTCTGCTATACAATTTCATAAAGAAGAACTAGGGTACATCTTAAGAGCAAAATAAATCACAGAATAACAAAACAGGAATCAGCTGCAAATTATATCCCTGAATTGCAGACCTGAGACATCCAAAATCTCCCACCAAACCGATCTAGCAATTTCCATTGCTGTCTTGGTAGCTTCTTGATGTAGTCTTCTATTCCTTTCAGTCCAAATGTGCCATATTGTAGCGGAGAATATTTGGATATAAGCCTTATGGGTGAAATTGTGAGTAGAAAACCAGTGCACAAGCTAGGTGGCTGTTCATTCACACGCAGCTGTTGCGCGATTTGGTTCTGCCGAGAGTCCATTCATTTGCATTTCTGAGGTAGTTTATATCTTTATTTAATGTTCAGATGTGTTACAGATTGGGTCACGTGCTTCTTATTGCAGTGTGCTTATCACGTTGTGCCCTGTGCTTCTTATGACTTTCGCAAGTTACTTTAAATATTTTACTCTAAAGTAACTTTTACGAGTAACACCCCAAAGGTGGCCTAGTTGGAAAGGACTTGGGCCTGGTGCCTCATGAAGTATTAGGTCTCAGGATCGATTCCTGTTAGGCGCAAACAATTCCTTGGGGGGGGGGGGGGGATTACCAACTAGGGAAAAAAAAAAACTTTTTCTAGTTGCTTTTGATCTTTTTTCCTCCCAGAAGACTACTATTACTTGTTTTTCAAGTAAATAATATCTAGGTAAATAAATAATATCTATTTTATGTTAGAACATTTATTTATTTATATTGGGCAAGTTGTAATTATGTTAGTTTATAGCCAATTATGTAATTTGGCCTTTTATTATGTTTGTATATAAACCCTCTTTATTTTAGGGTTAAGCAAGGAATGAGAATTGTGCAGCCTCCATCAGTTTCTCTATCTTCATGTTTCATTTTCCACATGGTATCAGAGCACCGATCGGTGCCTCCCAAAATTGCTTGCTGACATCGCCGTGAAGAGGGTGTTATTGCCGGTGTGCGAGCTTCTTCATCATCGAGTTTTTTTTTTTTTTTTTAGTCGATCATGAAATATCAGATCGTCATCTTGTAGCTTTGGCTGTCGGCGAGCTCGCCGCCTTCTATCCTCATCGCTGCTCGTTATTGGGTCGACGGTGGCTGTTGCCAGTTGCGTCGTCACCATAAGGAAACTGATTTTGGCTGAGAGTTGTAGAGGTTTCTCGCCGGCGTTTACTGCGCTGTCTTCTTGTGTGTACGGATTTTCTTCGGCCACTGTTTTGCGACAATTTCAGGTTCTGTACCTCTTCTTCACCCGTGAATCTGAATCCTCTCCTTCATCTTCTCTTTCACCGGTGGCTTGCTGCACTATCTTGGTGACGTTGGAGTGTGTGTCTTCGCCAATTGAGTCCAATTTCGGGTTGGGTCCTTCCTCAGTCACAGCTGAAGCTTGTGGGTTTGTGTTGCAGTACTGTGACTTTGTGATTGTGAAGGAAGGAGTGTGTTTGGCTACAGGACTAAGGTAGCCCAAACTAGTTTTGTTGGAACTCAGTTTTACAGTGACCTAGTTCAGTTTCAACCCAGTTTTTTTGGACCCAAATTTGAGACCCGACACTATTTTGGATCCATTTCGTATATTGAGGCCCGACCCGTTTTTGCATCCGCTAGACCCCGTTTTTGTGCATCCTGTTTTCTTTGCAGGATTTTTTTTTTCTTCGAGCTTCTTTTCTCCGTTTCATTAGTGGTGCAAAAAATAAAAAAAAAACTATTTTTTTTGATTCTGCATTCTCCAATTCTTAAAAAAAAAAAAAAAATTCGAGGTTATTATTTTTGGTTTTTCAACTCCAAGTTTGGGAGCTAGAACAGATATTAGGTTGTTTCTCTTCTGCCTCTTCCATTTTTTTTTTTACTACAATGTCAGCATTTGTTAGTACTGATAGTGTTAGAATATCCGGAGCGGAGTTCAATGCCTTAGTCAATTCGGCACACATAAATCTGTTGACAGTGTTGCCAACTTTGCCCAAATAGGTAACATTGCATGTTTTTCGGACTTCCAGTCTTCCTCTTCCTCTTGGGTTCTCGACTCTGGGGCATCTACCCATTTAACGGGTAATGAATCTCTATTTTATGATTTTCACAAGTTTAATTCTCGTTCTTTTGTTACTTTAGCCAATGGCAGGACTCGTCCCATTATTGAACAGGGTACGATTCCATTAACGTCTTCCATCTTGTTATCTCATGTGCAACTGGTTCCTAAGTTTCCTTTCAATTTATTATCTGTGAGTAAGATCATTGAGGCACTTAACTGTTCCGTGACCTTTTACCCCTCATTTTGCGTCTTTTAGGATCTCAAAACAAAGAAGACAATTGGTGGCGGCATTGTGAAAAACAGTCTATATTACTTCGATTGTGAGCCATCTACTTGTGGTACGGCTCTCCATTCATGGGTCTCTCTGCCCGCCAGTGGTATTATCGATTGGGTCATCCCTCCTTAAGGTAGCTGAAATCTGCAGTGCCGTTTCTCGAGTCAGTGTCTACTTTAGAATGTGAGTCATGTCAATTGGGCAAGCATCATAGGGTATCATTTCCTCCCCGCATCGATAATCATCGGTCTTCTCTTTTTGAATTGGTGTATACTGATATATGGGGTCCTGCTCATCATACCAGTCTCTTAGGTTTTTCATATTTTGTTACCTTTGTTAATGACTATTCTAGGATGACTTGGATGTGCTATACGGACTTTACAATCTGATAATGCTATGGAATATGTCAAAGGTGCTATTTCAGAATTTTATGACTCTCGTGGTATTTTGCACCAAACTTCTTCTTGTTATGCTCCTCAACAAAATGGTGCAGCAGAACGAAAAAATCGACATTTAATTGAAATAGCTCGGACTTTATTGATCTCTATGCATCTTCCGAAAGCATTTTGGGGAGATGCAGTTTTAACTGCTTGCTACTTAATTAATCGTATGCCATCTTCCGTTCTTAACTGGAAATGCCCTTATTTTATTGTTTTTCCTACTCGTCCGTTATTTGCATTGACTCCTCATGATTTTGGTTGTGTGTGCTTTGCTCATATCTTACGTCCTAGCATTGATAAATTGTCTCCTCGTGCCATTAAATGCGTTTTTATTGGTTACTCTCAAACTCAAAAGGGTTATAAATGTTGGGATCCTAGCACTTGTCGTGCTTTTGTGTGTATGGATGTCACCTTTTTTGAGGACACTCCTTACTTCTCTTCACGTGGTTCGTCTCTAAATACTGATTTGTTACTTCCGTGGCTCCAACTGAGTCTGTCATACCATGACCACAACCACTTCAAGTGTATAGTCAACGACCAAAGGAAGCATCCCCCCAATTGTCTACTTCTATTGAGGCTCCTCCTCAACCTGATGATCTTCCCATTGCATTGCGTAAAGGTACTTGCTCTTGTGTTACTGCACATCCCATTTCTAACTTTGTCTCATATAATCATGTTTCACCTTCTTTCTCTTGTTTTTTTAATCCAAATTGTCTGTTACTCTTGTTCCCAAGACTTTGCTGGATGCTCTTTCTCATCCTGGTTGGCGAAGAGCCATTGTAGATGAAATGGATGCCCTTCATCATAATGGCACATGGGATCTTGTTCCTTTACCTCCTGGTTGCAAACCGGTTGGTTGTAAGTGGGTCTACACTGTCAAATACCTCCATGATGGTTCTATTAAGCGTTTGAAGGCCCGTCTTGTCGCAAAGGGGTACACCCAGACTTATGGTGTTGATTATGATGAGACTTTTTCCCCTGGTGCGAAGATTTATTCTATACGAGTCCTTATTTCCATTGCTGCCAATCGTAACTGGCTGTTGTTTCTGTTAGATGTGAAAAATGCCTTCTTACATGGTGACTTAGCTGAAGAAGTTTATATGGAGCAACCACATGGGTTTGTTGCTTAGGGGGAGTATCGTCATACTGTTTGTCGCCTTAAAAAGGCCCTGTATGGATTGAAACAATCTCTAAGGGCTTGGTTTGGAAAATTCGCTGAAGCAGCATTAGAATTTGGTCTTAGTAGATGTCGGACAGATTATTCGGTATTTCACCAACACACTAAGGTTGGCTTCATTTTTCTTGTTGTGTATGTGGATGATATTGTTATCACAGGTGACGATTGTGAAGGCATTGCTAAGTTGAAACAGCTTCTACAAAATCGGTTCCATACTAAAGACTTGGGTAAACTCAGATTTTTTTTGGGTTTTGAAGTTGCTAGATCTAAAGATAGTATTAGTTTATCTCAAAGAAAATATGTGTTGGACCTATTAGAAGAAACAGGTATGTTTGGGGGTCGTCCAGTTGATATTCCTATGGATCCAAATGCAAAACTCTTGTTTGATTAGGGTGATTTTTTTGATGAGCCTGGCAGATATCGACGCCTTGTCGGGAAATTAATTTATCTCACTATTACTAGGCTTGATATTTCATATGCAGTTAGTGTCGTAAATCAGTTTATGGGAGCTCCTAGGATGCCACATTGGAATGCAGTTCTTCGGATTATCCGATATCTCAAGCAAACTCTAGGTTTTGGGTTGCTATATAAATCAAATGGTCATCTCAGGGTGGAAGGTTTTACAGATGCTGACTGGGCTGGTTCTCCTTCAGATAAGAGATCTATTACAGGCTACTACACATTTGTAGGAGGAAATCTTGTTACATGGAGAAGCAAAAAACAAACGTTGGTAGCTCGATCTAGTGCTGAAGCTGAGTACAGGGCAATGGCTCATACCACTAGTGAGTTGACATGGATGCAACATTTTCTAGAGGAACTTGGGTTGAGAATCAAGGCTCCTATTCCATTATTATGTGATAATCAAGTGGCTGTTTACATTGCATCCAATCCTGTGTTCGAGAGAGGACCAAGCATATTGAAGTTGATTGTCACTTCATTCGAGAAAAATTATCTAGTGGGAGCATCTCTACTCCATTTATAAAGTCTGAAGATCAACTAGCTAATATGTTTACCAAAGCATTAGGTCATAATCGGTTAAGAACTATCTCTTCCAAGCTGGGATTATATTATATATATTCTCTAGCTTGAGAGGGAGTGTTAGAACATTTATTTATATATATTGGGCAAGTTGTGATTATGTTTAGTTTATGGCCAATTATGTAATTAGGCCTTTTATTATGTTTGTATATAAACCCTCTTTATTTTAGGGTTAAGCAAGGAATGAGAATTGTGCAGCCTCCATCAGTTTCTCTCTCTTCATGTTTCATTTTCCACAGTAGCCAAGTTAAATATAAAAACAAATGACTGGTATATTTCTTTTCTTTTTCTTTTATGTAGAGAAAGGGTAGGGACAGATCCTCTTCTCTTTATTTGAAATTAGTTATTACTTTATTATTTAAGGTAGATGACCTATATTTAGACCACTGTTTAGGTGTCTAATTTTTGGACTCTTCTTTAGCCAAGTCCACGTATCCAATAATTTGAAAGATGGATGAATCCGACGTCTAGACAGGCACCCGTATCTAACACCTGTACCCGAGTCCAGGTAACATAGCATTTAGTTTAGCTACTTAAATACTTTTGCAGTTGATCTCTTTCGAAGGCCATAGCCTCTGTTAAGTCACTGGATACCATGTCTTCTAACTGCCTGTGCACAATTTCCTTTTATCCTCCCTCGCAAACTTCTATCAAATTCACTTCTTCCTGTGGCTGCGGTCATTGCTATTTATTGCACATCGGCAAACATCTAACACTAAATTCCTTCATCTTGTACTTCATTGATTTGGCCTCAAGCTTCTCATAAATACATTTTTATATTTCTCTCTTTTCTCAAATTGCTACCTATCCGTTTAGGCAACTCTTGTTTTTGCACTTTGTGTTACCATTTTCCATTGTATGTAATAATGTATATAAGATTTTTTTTCCCCGTAAGTGTGCTCTTTTAAGTCTCATAATTTTAATCAAACTTCCCATTATTTGAACATGACAAATGGATCAAAATGAGAATCACCCATTGGATGAGAAAAAGAAGGGGAAAAAAAAACACATTGGTTGAATAAGCCCACAAACTCTTATTGACTGAGATATGGTACCCCCAAGAACGTTAAAAATAGCCATTGTCAGAGGATAACACAATGGTGAATTGCTTTAGAATGCAATTTGGATGTGCCTATTAGGCAGATTCATTTTATGCAATCGGTGTTGCACAATCTTAGGACTAGAATATCCCTGTCTAAGCTGAAACAGAGTAACTATGTAAGTGTTGGGCTTCACTTTCATGGATTAGGTTGTTTCTGGATGATGTGCATAGTGTCGTATTGTGACACAATATGTACTGTCACTTGTAGTTTGGAAAGAGTTAGAATACTTTAAATTGTGCTTGTATGTATCCACCCGTCGGACATGTGAAATCCCCCAAAAGGACACATGGGCATTGCAACATATTCATTTTATTTAATATTTTTATTTTCTAGACTAAAATAAGGTCTTTATATAACATAGTGTTCAATTTAGGTATTTCACTCATTTTGAAGTACTAATATGAAAAAATTGGATTGTTAGATATGTTTTTTAGTTGCATGTCCAACCAAAAGTGTTGAACACATATCCCATACCCACATCCGAGTATTGTGTGCCCGACACAGTTACTTCACCTCTTTTTGAAGAGTCCATGTAATACAGCAGATAAAAACATAAATAAAAAGGGTAAACTATTCGGAGGTGAGGCAAGTTTGCTGTCCTCAGATTGGTAACAATTCTTGTTGCTAAATTGAAATATACTGCTCCTGCCCTTCAGAGTTTCATCCTTTTCCTAGCGGAGCCAAAGTATGAGCCAAAGTATGAGCACAGTGTTCCAGATGCCCTTGCCAAACTCTTGTGGTATTTTTCTTCTTTCGCTCCCCCAGGGTGGGTCTCCGTTGTGCCTATACTTTGGGTTTTCCTTGTATGAGATTTTCATAACAGGAGGAAAATAGTCAGTTTGTTTTGCCTGTTTTGCTGGCTGCCTCTAAACAACCTTTCATCCGGTCCTCATATGCAGGTTTTTTATTTTTTTTATTTATCTTTTCCCTAAGCAAGAGAAGATTTGGTAACAGTGTTAGCGCAGCTAACTTAACTGTTATTCCGGAGACCACTTCTTTTCATTAGATGTGTGTAGGATGTGCATCTGGCATGATTTCTCTTGTGGTGCACTTATGCTCATACTCTATTTAATTAGTTCACATGAAAAGTAGGACAGGTAGTGTTTGACGTTTTTGTTCTCTTTTTTCTACTTTATTTTATTTTTTATATTTATACTGCCAGTCAGGTGAAATTTTTATGATGAAATTAACGCTCCTCTCTTTATGTTGATATTGCTGCAGCAAGCTCCTCTTTTTGATCTCACTTGTTTATTTATTCATATATCAACTGTGGAAAGGCTTTTTATAAATTCTCTATTGTGACAAAAAAAAGAAAAAAAAAGAAAGAAGAAAGAAGAGATAAGCATAATGTTTGTCAGAAGGAAACGATGTATAATATTTTTTTCAATTCTTGCTTCTTGCAGGAAGTTACTTCTGTTCTAGTAGCTGATGGAGTCTCAAATGAGAAGATATTAAAGAACTTCTGACATCAATCAGTTGGAGAGGTTCATACTGTTGTATTATTATTTGATGAGAAGCTGTTGTCCATTCATTCATTCCATACTGCTGGGTGTAAATTATCTCAGTCAAGATTAACAAAATAAAACCAATTTTGCCTTTTCTGGCCTTCTTTCGTGTTGGAGTCATCTTTCAGAACTGTCTCCACCGGTTTTATCACGCTCTCTTAATTACAACTGGATTAACATCTGAAGGGTTGCGAAGACGACATTTTTTAAACTGGCCATATTATTTTTCAATTTTCATTCTATCTTTGATCCGGGCGGGGAAGCTGGGTGCAATTTAATATATTCTACTCAACCGCAATTTTTCAAGGGCAGGACTCATTATTTATTAATGACTCTTTTTAATTCCCTTTCCACAGTATGAAGGTGCATCAAGTTACATGTAGTTTTCTAGTTTTCTACCTCTGTAGTCCTTTTGAATACTGTATAAAAATTTGTTGTTATTCAGGTGGAAGAATTTCCTTCTGGTACCAAGTATATCTTTCTTGAAAAAATCATGTTCTTGCATTTATTTCATTTGTTTCTAAATTTTGTTTAGAAAGTATTTTATGTTTATTAAGATTATCAGATTCTAATTTTTGAACTCTTACATATTATCATCCCATTCATCATAGTCATTGTCACCACCACCACCTGCTTCTTTTTTCTCTCTTCTTCCGAGCCACTGTCGCATTCATCACTGCACAGTCACATGAGCTCTAGGACCGTGTCCTCGGCTCTCTTGGATTACTTCTCCTTCCTCTTCTCGCGGTCATCCTTGTCAAAGTGCCCATGTTTTCTATGCTTTTGTCGTGGCACTCCTGCTTATCGTTCTCCTGCTATCATCACCATCGCCGTCATGGATGCTATTTATGCTTTAGAGCCTTTAGCTTCCTCTATTTCGCGGCGGTATCAGTGTATGCCTCTCTGTATGCCTTGGTAGCAGCTACTCTGGCCCAGTTTGCGGGGGCTTCTTTCTTCTCCTGTACCACTTGCATAAACTTCTTGCAGTCCATGTGGATGAAAAAACAAACTCAATACCTGCATTTTCGCATGACGACGATGTGAAGTAAATCCCAAAGAAGACTGACCAATTTTGGTTTTTCCGTCATTTTCAAATCTAGGCTTTTGATGTCATAACACCAAAACATTTTAAATTGATTTGAGATGAGTGTACATGTTCAATGACCGATATTGAATACTCATTTTTCAGTCCTCTCTTTGAAGGTTTTAGAAGAAAAACGTTCCAAACAAGTTTACATGCTTAACTTTGGATCTTTGAGCAAGTGAAAACAAAGGTGCAAGTGTTTTCAAATTCATTTTATTTTATCACACTCAAATCTTGGCCTCGTATAATTGCAGTATTAGAATTAAAAGTAGCGATATTGAAAAAAAAACATTTTAAACTATTATTTGGAAAGTGGGTCTAATAATTGGGATTGCTGCCATTGAAAGACGTTAAAACGTTTTTATTTTATAAGTTTTATTTTACATGTGTTTGGTAACAAAAGAAAAAGTAGTTTTGAATGACAATATTCTAGGCCATTAGAGCTTTTGAATGAAATTAAAAATTTTAATTTTTAAAAGACTAGAGGATTTATAATTTAAATAATTGTTTTTTCTCAGACAATTTTATCCCTTTTTATATTTTATAAAGACAATTTTATCTCTTATTATAAAATACTACTATTAGCAAATATAAGAGCATTTCATCAAAAAAATATTATTGTAAAATTAGTAATATAAGTGATTTAAATAATATTGTTGCCAAACCAAGTTTGAAAGTGTGAAATTTGTAACCAAAGGGGTCTTGTTCGGGGATCTTTGACCTTAAAATGGTTTTAATCCAAAGATCAAATAATAAAAGAGTGACTACACAAGAGAGGGGAGATGATCTATCTAGTTCAATAAATAGCTATTGACTCGCAAGTACAATTATAATTTACTCAAACCACATAAACTACATAAAAAAGAAAGAAAAAGAAAAATGAAGGCGTGCGAGCTCACCTCACCATAAATATAATCACCCTTTTATACATAAAACACCATACATCAAATTTTTGTTACCAAATATACTTCTAATTTATACACAAAACACCATACAACAAAACGTTATTTCTGTTTTAACTAAAAACAAAATGCCAAAAACAAAACTCGACAGGACCTTAATGTAACGGAAAGACATTTTTTGCTAATGTAATGAATAAAGTTATTAAAATATCCAATTTGCCCCTAACAGAAACAAGAAGACATTACCTCCACTAACCATCCCTACACTACGTGATCATCCTTCATCCCCTTTTATTTCACAATTAATACATGTAAATGAATCGATTCATTGCCTTTAGATATTTTGGAGGCAGAACAATCGCCTCCGCGTTTTGATCTATAAACAAAAATAGACATATGCAAATATATGTATACATATGTAAATCATTTTATTATATGTTGTTCAACTATTCGATACAAACTTGGAGAATTAGTTCGATGATAATACCTGGCATTCGGGGGGATAACGCTTGTTCTTTGTATTGGTGTTGGGGGTACTATATGATTGCCAGAACAAGAGACGTTTTTTCTCTTCACATCGACCAACTTTTAACCAAAACCCAAATTAACAAACAAGTTAATTAATGAAACCAAAGACTTAAAATCAGCTCCGAGCTAGAAAAATGATGAAGATGCGGACCAAATCCTTGATAACTACTGATAAATTGTTCGTTAACGAACACAATATGTGGCAACCTTGTGGGCGGGTGTGAGACACTAGTAGGCTAAGGGTGCACGAACCCATATCACCTAGGTAAGGTGAAGGTGAAATACTTATATGTGCTAATATTGTTTCTAAATGGTATGAGGCCTTTTGATCATAAAACATGATGAGCGCTGAAAAGTGCGCATTTAAACCCCTTAAACTTAGGTATTCTAGAACCTTTATCTATCTTATTTTCCCGCTTTAGATTGATTTTGTATTATTTCCATTTTCAGGTACTTATCCCCAAAATAAGCTAACTCAGCTAAATAAGAGCATAATTGAAGCAATCTTGAGATGAATCAAAGAAATGAGCAAAGTGGAAGCAAAAGGAAGCAAGTGGTGGAAATTCAGCAAGTTCGATCGATCTTATAAAATATTCGATCGATCGAAAGTTCATCGATTTCAACATTTCAAGATGGATCCAAGCTTTTTTGTCCTTATTCAAAGATCCCACAAAGTTCGATCGATCGAAAAGATTTCATCTTATCCAGTTGTACCACCCTACCTACCACATTTATCTCTTTTCCAAAAATATCTTCAAAATATCTCAGATTTGTCTTTATCCAAAAAGGCGCCGCCATAGAGGATCGATCCAGCTTAAGTTCGAAAGATCTCAGCCATGTTCGATCGATCTCACCACAAGTTCGATCGATCGAACTTCCCAAAGCGCAAGAAAATTTAATTTTCAGCTCATTAAAAGTTGTCTCATATCCAATCATTGGGGGGAATATTGGTGTACGAGCCCAGCTTATTGGGGGTGATATTTAACCTACATATATAAGGAATATGAGCCATATAATGAGGAGGACATATACATACACTAGACACACAATTTCCATATATTCTTAGTGAGGAAGAAAAGAAGAGGAGGCTAGAGACACGAGCTTGGAGTTCTTCCATCAACCAAGAAGAAGAGTAATCTTTACCATGGAGTTAGCCCTTGAGGGTTGGAGGACACCATCCATGAGTGGCTAGACATCCTCTTGGGGCTAGAGTTAGCCCTAAGCATGCTTTCTACATCTTGATTTATGTATTTTTGAGGGGATTTGTATTGTGATACATGTTTTGACACTTTTATATATATAGATTTTTTTTATTCAATGATTTGTGTGGTTTAATGCTTCCAATTGATCATTTCATTCTATCCATATGTCTATATATGCTAGAATAGATATTCATGTGTTTGTCTCTAGATTTTGTGTTATTAATGCATGTCTATGTGTATTAATGCTATAGATCTAGAGATTGTCAAGACATAGTGCTTAATGGAATGCTTTTGTGGTTTATTTGATGGTTCATAATCATTTCTTGATGGATTGTGCTTCTCTCTTAGTTTAATTAGTTTAATTTTATGTTATTAGCTTAATTGTAGTGTAGTTGTGGTTTAGATGTTAAATGGGAGGACAATCCATGCTTGTTATTTGATGTTCCATACTTATGAAAGCAAGTAGCATATGTCTCTAACCTTGTGATGTGTTTGGATTGTGAGCTTAAAGAAAGGATTAATGGGTTAGTTTGATATATTGTGCTATCCACCATGTTACTTAGATAATATATGCTTAATTTGTCATCCATGCTTGTTGAGACAACCACACGCACACACACACTAATGTTGCAATACATGTTTTCCCCCTCATTAATCATTCATTAAGAGTGTAGAAAAGCTATGCTTAGTGGTGATCTCTAAACCCCAAGATCTCTCTCTTATTTTCTCTCCATTAAATTTAATTGTTTACTTTAGTTTAAATTGCATCTTAGTGTAATTCAACCACCAACCAATCTTTTGATCACTCGGCCTACTAACCCTAATCTCGATTCCACAACGTAATTCAACCACCAATCCCTTGGGACGATCCCTACTCGCCCTAACTATATTTTTAGTGAAAGGTAGTAGTGGCAAATTATAAATGTAAAACTTGGCCACACTTACCATAGTCTAACACTCTCTTTTGCACAAACTTTGGGTTGACGACGACAACCACCAAGTTTTTGGGGCCATTGCCGGGGATTGATTGAAGGCAACATCGTATTTGTGGAATCAATTAGGAATTAGTACTCTTTTGATCGTGTTTTTACTTTATTTTCATTTTGGTTACTTATTGTGTTGGTTCTTGTTTGACTAGGTGCATTGAGCTAGAAGGTGAGCAAATGAGCATTTCAAGCAAGGAGCTAAGTAAAAGCAAGGAAAAAACTAAAATCTAAAATTTTTTTGCAAGGCTAAAATTGAAAATTGAATTGAAGTGCTAAAGGACCCTTTGTGAGCTCTTTCTTAACTTAATCTCTAGTTAAATCGTTGGCTCGCGTGGATGCTTGTATTTCAATTCTTAGATAAATCGTGAGCCCACATGGAGGCAATTTTATTT